ATATATCGAGGGCTGCTTGCACCCTCCCTGAACCGTGTTTCGTTCGAATCACCCTCGACTCGGGCCACTTTCGACTTTGCACAGACTGTGCTTGGTCTCATTGTTCTGACTTTACCTTCTTAGGGGTTGCTTACCCCTCCATCTATACTGTGTTCCGAGTGAGTTTCGTCGGAAGCATGCATCGCTAGGCACGATCAGTGCCGAGTGCTCACTTATTTCCTTTCTTGTTTTGTGTGCATTGTGTGCTTCTTTACACACTCCAAGCACACACCAGACAGGGAGTGCCCGGGAAACGAGCAAACAAATATTTTGAAAACCCCCAAAATCCGTGTTAACGGCGTGAGGGGAACCTAGCTTTGAGAGTCGAGGCAGTTGGGATTCGCGTAACTTTAACTGTGAGTGCCCCTCCTTAATCCTTTACCTCAAAGCAACTCCGTGTATAGTAGGACCTAGTGAACATCCTATAACAGGAGGCCAGGACCTATGTGGGGACCTATACCAGCCTAGCTGCATTTCAATAATTAGGACTTCACTCTCAAGCCAAGCAGACCTATAATCAACCTAGGTCAAACATTTTCGTGTGCCTGCTTATTTATGATCGCTTAATCTTAGATCTCAGTTCGGACTCGCTTTTGGTTCGAGCTGAACCCTCTGGGTCCAAGTCCAGGCTTGTACCCAGCCTAGCCCAGGTCCGAACCAGGCTCACAACCAAGTCTGAACCTAAGCCCCCTTTTAGTCCTATCCAAAGGCTCGTTCCTGGCTCATCTTTGATCCAATCTGGGTCCACACCTGGTCTGATCATCAAAACTCTTTGGGTCCAAGATCAGACTTCTACCTAGCCTAGCCCATGTTCGAACTAGATTCACACCTAGGTCCGAACCTAGGTCCCCCTTTTGGTTCAAGCCGAAGGCTCATTCCTAGTTCATTCTTGATCCAGCCTTGATCCACGCTCGGTTTGATTATCACAACCCTCTTGGTCCAAGCCCAGGCTTGCACCCAGCTCAGTCTAGGTCCGAACCAGGCTCACACCCTAGCCCCGAACCTAGACCCACTCTTGGTCCTAGCCGAGACTCGTACCCATCTAGTCTAGATCTTAGTCTAGGCTCTAGCATAGGTTTAAGCTTATAGTTGCCACTAAAGCTAGACTAGGCTTACCATAGTTCATCGTCTGAACCAAAGCCCATTGAGTCTAGAAAGTCTAGGTTCCAGTCTAGTCTTAGTTAAGGTTTTTCCTTAGAGTCAGGCTAGGTCTGCCCTAAGTCGTCGAGTCTAGATCTTACCTAAGTCTAGATTCTAGAACCCAGCCAAAGTGAGTCACCATGTCGATTACGCAAGGCAACCATGCTGATTGCTCGACAACTGACTCTAAACCAAACCTTCCCAAACCTAGGGACTAGTATGCTGCAATCTCTTGGAATTACCAACAGACCTCAGGCCTATCCATCATCCAACGCCCAGTTCTTCAGTTAGAGGTAGAGTTCGAAGGGTCCACTTCTAATCCTGAAATCGGTGTGATCCGAAGAGCTAATTCAGCTCGAAAGACTTTGAATAGTCAGAGGGTCCGACCAGGCGTTGTCCTACAGTGGATTTTAGGTAACCAAAGTAGAAGCCGAGTGAGGGAAGAAATTCATGCAGCATCTAATGCCAATTCCCACAACTGCAACCAAGACAACCCCGAGGTGCAACGTTCTCAAAACCAAGACCCACCTAGATATAGGGGATCCAGCCCAACCTCGAGCCACTGTAGTACCGCTCTTGACATTCTTAACACTGTACGAAGTAGAGGCGTCAATCCAGACCAACCTTTAGGCGAGATGGGCGTCTAAGCTGCCTTAAAAGTCTGATTGACCTAGGTTACACTATTCTTGCCCCAGCTCATGGGTTGATGCCAAACCAACTTAGTAGTATAGGTCAACCCCTAGCACAACCGAGTTAGCTGATTCTTCAATCGGCCCCTTAGTTCACCCGGTCCAATAAACCATGCCATTTCTGCAGCTGGTGGTGACACCTATAGGTCACTACGCTACTCAAGCACAAATGTATCAAACCACCTTGGTACTAATCTTAGGTCCATGTAGGCCAACATATACCCTAAATCTCAACTTAAAAATCTACATTTGGGAACCCACCGACCGGTGCGCCTATTGTCACACCAAATACTCAACAAGAAGGCACTTTAAAAGCGATGCAGGATATGCTCATAAGAATGGGTGTGCATCAAATTCTACCCCCAAAGGCCGATGTTCAAGAGACCCTTGGAGGCATAGAGGACCTTCCCCTGGGATTTGTTGTCCCAGAATTTAGGAACAAGTTTAATGCAAAGAGCTATCCAGATGCTCACATCAAAGTGTATCTCCTCTTTGTGAGAGCTTTGCGAGACATGCCTAACCAACTGAAGGTCATATTTTCGTAAACATTGATCGGTGAGGCCTTGAACTGGCATCGGAGAACAATGTCTGTTCAATCACACATTACTCCAGACGAAATGCTCAACCTATTCGTCTCTCACTACCGCTGGTCGACACCAAGATCTCTCTCCCTGGACGAGCTTAGTGCAACGAAGAAAAATCAAGGAGAATCCTTCAAGGAGTTCATCCATTGATTCCGTGAGGCGGCAATTCAGGTCATAGAATGCCCATTGACTGACCCAGCCAAAATCTCTATGGCTTTAGAGAATGCCGCTCCTGAATACAGGAACTTTTGCAGCCAAGGTCATATCCCCCACTCTTTCAATTCCATGATTGAGCGGGTGGTGCGATATGAAAGGGAAAGAGGGACACCCCTCAGCACCAGGCCCGATAATAAACTAATAATGACTCCCCAAAATAAGAGTAAAAGCAATAACAAGGGGAAGGCTTCCGGTCAGGTTAATGAGATTGTCGTTATCGGACCGGCTCAAGGTTCAGCCACTCAACACAATAATCAAATCCAAAAATAAGAGTTCAGCCTAGAGCTAACCCTCGAAATAATAACCAAAGGCGAGAGGATAATTTCACTCCTTTCAAAGACCCACTGAAAAAAGTGATGGAATTACTCCTGGCTAGAAATATGGTTTATCTCTCACCACCAACTGAACTACCATTTCAAGTCACGGACAAGAGCAAGTGGTGCAAATGGCATCAAAACCATGCCCATTATACCCAAAACTGCATATATTTGAAACGAGTGATTCAAGGGTTAATCAACAAGGGGGACATCACTGTTACACTTAGAAATCAACCTGTCGATGAGCCTAATCAAAAGATGGGTATTTTCACAAACCCTCTCCCAAAAAAAATGGTCACAACGATCGAAAAGCTGGGAGCTCAAGATAACTTGAAAGAGAACATCATCATTCACACGGTTGAGAGTGGAGACGAAGAAGATGATCCAAGTCAGCTCATATTTGCTTGTGATCATCACCTTTAAGAGTTCGAAGAAGATCTTTCGAGCCTTTTAAGAGGAAACCCTTCATCTCCGGACCTTGATAACTCTCCCAAATATGACCAATATGGCAAAGTTGATACGCTAGAAATCGATATGGTCAGAATCAATGTAAAGGCATCATCTCTCAAACAAGGGGTCAACACCTCAAATTCTCCCATTATGCTTCCAAACAAGGGGCCAACACCTCAAATGTCAAAAGAAGTTGAACCTTTGAAAATTCTAAGGGGCCCATCTGAGCCACCTTCACAAGAGTTCTTGAATGATCTACCAATCTGAGATCAATAATTAGATATTGAAAATCCGACCAGGTTACCTCCTCAAGAGGCAAGCTCTCTAAAAGTCATTAACGCTATGAGCACATCTCCGATAACCGGAACGCCACCATATTAAGAGAATTCATCCTGTGAAGAACAAGTTCCCAACGGAACAGAAAGCCCTGTAGGGGCGACCCCATCAAAATATTCGATAGGGGCAAACTCCTTTCACTCCTTTGGTGTAAGAGTTTCACCTAAACTTGAGAGTCTACTACAGAGTTAACCTCCAAAAAACAATTCGAAATTTGCAATGAAAAAGATTACCGAAAAGGAGTTTGGTGATCACTCGTCTTTCTGCAAATAACTGAATGAGGTATTCATGGCTCACACTTCAAGTACTCCATTAATGGAGAAACCCTAATAAGCCTATCTATCCATACAGAGGGATTAGGAAACTGAGAGTGATTTCTAATCCCAAAATTAATGTTCAAGTGTAGCAGTTTAAAGGAAAAGTTCAACAGAGATTTCGTAACCCTTGTCAAAGAGATTTTGGATGCCAACCAGGGTCAAGGAAAATCAAAGGAAGACCGATATTAGAACCTCCTTGCCACTTGGAGGTGGGAAAGATGATCAAATTCTTACATGATCTTAAAGAGAATTGCAAAAAACAAAAAAAAAGGGCACCTCTGACTCTTCTTCCTCCTTCCCCTCTTCCTTTGTCATTATTTTCTTCTTCACAAAAAAAAAAAAAATCCGTTGGGCTAAAAATCCGAACGAAACCTCAAGTATTGGAAAAAAGGGACCCCGGAGCGACAAAAGTAAGTAAAAAAAAATCCGCTGGGCTGAAAATTCAAAAGAAACCCTAAGAGCTAAACACTCGAAAGGGACCCTAGGGCGATGAAAACGAAGAAGTACTCTCCTTCTTTCTACTCTCCAAAGTATTTTCTCTCTAAACCTCTTCTATTCCTCCCCTTGAGTCAAAGTGGTGTTAAAAGAAAATCAATAAGCATTAGCCTGACAAAACATTGCCAAGGACCTAAATCATCTAAAAATTCAAAATGTGAGTGGTAAAGGAACGAAATCAGAAATCCAAAGAGATTTTAAACACCCAGGGACGGTATCATGTATTTTCAAGACTCTGTTTCGCTCAAAACTCTAGAGAACTCTCCTTGAATTGCAATACAAGAACTGAGGTTGGAAGATAAAGAAATACTTGATGATTCCTTGTCCTAAAAATCTGAGACAAAAAACCCTACAACTAGGGGGCCTGAGTTTATAAAAATTTAGTTTGAAAAGTGTGTGCAAAGAAAGTGTTATTCTTTACTTCGACAAATCAATTGCACACATAAAGATAAACAAATGCCTCACAACTGGGACAGTTACAAAAAAAAATGGAGGGGGGGAAAGAATGAGAACAGGAAAGACAAATAGGAAAGGAGAAATCCATATATTTATATATACTTCAAAATCCATAATAAAAACCAGAAGCTCATGGCATCGATCTCTGGCTGAATTCTGTTAAATCAAAGACACAAAATGAGAGAAGTACATAAAAGAAAAAAAAAAAAGGAGAGAAAGGATATAGAAGAAAAGCATACCCTCTCTATTCGATAACGATATAGACGTCTATCTAAATCTTCAATGAGGACGGGGGATGGTCCAGGAATGGTAGGAACAACAACCAAAGAAGATGGTACTGCTCGTACTCTGTTCAGCTTGGCTCGAACTCTCTCTAGCTCATCCTTGATAGAATCACGTTCCACTTCTGCCATGTCCCTCGCCTTTCTCATCTCTGCTTCTACCATGTCCTTTGCCCCTCTCATCCCCTCAAAGTCGTGGTGAAGACTCTCGAGATCCTCTGCAATCAAATCTCGCTCCTCTATCGTCGAGTCACGTTTAGCACGAAGGGAAGCAACTTCCTCACCAGAAAATTGATTCCCGCCAAGATTGGCAGTCCCCAGCTGTCGCATCATTCCCTCACCATGATCTGTCAGGGCGGCCATATCCCTCAAAACGACCCTATATTTCTCCTCATATAAAGACATGGAGATGCTCTCCTCTTCCTCCTCACCGATAACATGAGCAGTCCTCTCCCTCCATTCCTCCATCCAAGGAGTCATCTCTCTCATATAGACATCCTCATCAGCAGTACTGACTATAATTGGAGTCCAAGGTGGAGTAATCTCGAAGGAAGACTGAGGAAGGCCAAACCGATGACGTACTTGACCTGAAAAGTATGGCAACATCAAGAACATGCAGATCAAATGGGCCGGTGTCCAAAAAGTTCGAGAAGACGCAGCATTGACCGGTGCGATAGGGTTGACTCTCATAGGAGTCTAGTCAATCTGGAAACTAAAGAAGATAAGTCAACTCAAAGGGGGGGATCCATTATTTAGAGCAAGGAAAGAAAAAGATAGTCGTGACTTACCTCCCCAACAACTTGGGTATACAAGAACAACGAATAATACAATCTTGAGAAGACCTCCTCAGTCTCCCACACTCCATATGACTAGCGATGAATAGTCGGAAAGGACTATGCTAGTCGACCTGAAAGTGGGTGAGGAATAGATATGTTTCCATGCCCAAACCTGGAGAAGAATTGAACAACCCCTAAAGAGTGAGCTACCTTGGCAACACTACAAAGATGATGGTGTAACCAGCCCACAATCGCCTGACCCCAGGCCACTCGCTCCAAATAATCCAACCGTCTAGTCACCCAAACCACCGATAAATGAGCTCGACCCTTGGACCGATCAGGAAACAGAAACTCCCCGAACAAGTACGCGAGAAAAGCCCACAAGGAACATCGCTCATCATCTGAAAGTGGCCCATTATTGATGGTCAAATCGACCTCCTGTCGGAACAGCTCTGGGTCATCCTTGATCATGGCCCACTCATGTGCCTCTCGAATCCTCTCTCTCTCTTGCTCTCGCCACTCCTCATCAGAAAGCAACACTGGAGGAGGTACTGCATCTATATCTACATCGTCAAGCTTGAGAATGTCGCACCCAACTCCCTCTGGATCTCCTGATAACCGGACACTCGACTCTGTCAAAGCTCGGGCAGCCGCTCTAGTTGGAGGATGGCTAGATTCGCCCTGAACCGACCACTCACTCCAAGACTCCTCGACTCACTGTCTTCCTCCATAGGGACCTTCCCTATTTGGGATGGTCTACTAGCTGCGGAAATCAAAATGTGATGAACACGACCACCCGCCATCCCTTCTACACGACGGAGAACATGGGTAAATTCCCACTTTAGCTTTCCAAGTTGGATCTCTTATTCATGCCTGCCTTTGATCTTTTCATAAGGAATACCAAGCAATTCCTTACAGTCAGAGGCATAACTAATAGACGACTTTGGAGGAATACTCATAAAAGGCTCACCCTCACTCCAAACCCAAAGAATCTGGGTAACATCCTCAAGAGTAGGAGCAAGTTCGTTGCATCGTAAGGGAATTGAGTCAGTCTCCGGTCTATATTGGCGGCATAACTTAGTGATCAAAGCACAATCCAAGTTAAAAGGCCTGATCCTACAGACCTCCCACAAACAATTTCGGGCAAGAGCCTGCCTTTGCCCAGGAGTCAATAATTATGCCCATTTACGGATAGCAAATAAGTGGGATCTACAGTCAACATAGAACCCCTATGAGACAAAAAAGGAAAAAAAAAACAAGATAGGGGAGAAAAGCTATCAATCTTTCAAACATCAAACACAATTAAAAAAAAAAAAATCATCACCCCACAACAAGAGGATTTCCATTAGGGGGTAGTTTTGTCATCTTGCACTCAGTAATAAAAACAAAAAGAGGGTCACCCCACAACAGGGGCAAGAACAACAAAACCCTTGCCAAAAAAATAAAAATAAAATAAAATAAGGAGAGGAGAGTAGGGGTATTCTAGTCATTTTGCACTCAGAGGTATTTTTTGTTATTATACATCCAAAAGGCATTGTGGCTATTTTTCCATCCCCAAAAATAAGGGGCAGAACTAATCACTCACGATTACCCTTAAAAATAAGAAATTACACATGGGTATTCTGGTCATTTTGTGCTCAGGGGTATTTTGGTTATTTTGCCCTCAAAACCCTTTTCCGTATTCTGAAGAAAGAAAAGCCGATAAAGAAACTTTTGACCCAAACCCATGAACATAAAGACTTTGTCTAGCACAAGGAGTTAGGATTCAACCCAACTCTTGACCATTCAAGCATTTAACCAAACATTTTATAAGCATCTCATAGGCAATTTCAAGAGTAGGGTCCACACATATTCTGAAAATCTTTTGAAAAAATGTCCGACCATAACTAAAATATTCCATGAAAAGCTTTACAAATCATCTTCTACTTCGAAATTTGGGGAGAAGAAATCATCATTTTTACTAAGCCAAAATCAGTAGCATGTCAATTTCAAGGCCGTCCAAAAAGAGGACAATCTCAAATTTTTCACTAAGGCATTTCAACAAACATATCATGGTCATATACAAGCACTCTTTGAAGCGAAAAAAATGGTATTAAAATAGATTGTTTTACCAAAGTGTAAACATGACAACCAAAGTTTTATAAGTGAATTACATAATTTAAACAAGTTTTTCACATCCGGAAAAAGAAAACCATTGTTTTACTAAACCAAAGTTAGTGGCCTGCCAACTCCAACACCACCCAAATGGGAACTAAGCCAATACTCACTCAGACATTTCATTAAACATATCAAATGTCTCAATGGGGACTTGTACCTTCTCTTGGTGTTCTAATTTGGAAATATGATCCAACCCAAGTGTCCATTGATGCTCTCAGCGTTCCATTTTCGACCACCTATGAATCACCAACAGAATGAAATAAGATTACAATGAGGGAGTTTGATGTAGAGAGGAAAAGTGGAGAAAGAAAGAAGCCTAGAGAGAGAAAGATGGAGGGATCAACAAAGAGTGTGCATTTGTGGTAAATTTAAAAAGGAATGGATCCCTCTCATGGCTTCAATTTCAGCAACTCTCTTCAACTTCTTTTCACAGTGCTTCTTCTCTCACTAAAATCCTCATCAGTGTAGGGAAAACATCAATTAGCAATGCATCCCAATTAAAAACGGGTATAATTTGGTGTTCTCCTAGAGTGAGCAAAATAAAATCTATTTGTGGCTTGGATTGGGAGAAATTTCACCTTCATCAGTGACTCTTGTTTTCTCATCGTATATATATAAACCTTCTGCTGCAATTTGTTTCTCCTTTTTGCTTTGTCTTTTCAATGTGACCATTTGCTCTCAAAGAGCCATTTGGACCATCACCTCTTGTTTATTTTAAATAAATAAAAAAAAGAAGAAGGAGACTGTGCAAAATGATTTTTTTTTCTTTTAAAATAAAAATTAAAAAAAATAAAAAATAAAAGTTTTTCTTGGGCGACACGCTTGGGGTTACCGAGCCTGTGAGGGTGACACTAGATGTGTGACCCACATATATTTTGCCAAAATGTTTTCTTTCCCATGTTTCTTAATAATAATAATAATAATAAAATAATAAAATAATAATAATAATAAAAAAATAATAATAATAATTTGTGGTAGACATTAGTGGTGTCGCCCAAATCTTTTGTACAAAAAAAAAAAAACTTTTTTATTTCCCAGATGTTGCACAATAAAAAAATAATAATAATAATTTATATGGACGACACTAGCAGTGTCGCCTAGCCTGTGAGGGGGACATGCCCAGTGCCCCCCGGGCGACACGGCCAGTGTCGCCAAAACCTTTTTTCCAAAAAAAAGGAAAAAAAAAAAATCCCCAGCTCATTTTTAGGCCTTTTTGGGATCAATCCTTGACTTATCATGTGTTTTGTGACCTTTTTTAAACAAATGTTTTATTAATTTTAATTAATTTCAAATGCTCCTTGGTGGCATGAGCCTAAACTGCCAACCAATTTTCCAAAAAAATTCAAAAATTTAAAAAAGATAATAATACGCTCCTCGGTGGCATGAGCCTCAACTGACAACCAATTTTTCAAAAATAAAAACATTTTAAAAACGTCAAACTCATGTGACGTAAAATAGGCGAGACAGAAAAAACATCAAGCTCGTGCAACGTAAAAGAGGCGAGACAGGTAACGTCTAACACCGTATGACGCAAAAGGTAGGGTGTATCCAGGGCACAACTACCCTGGAAAAACGTCTATCCCCGTATGACGTAAAGGGTCGGGTGTATCCAGTTCAACGTCAAACTCGTGTGACGTAAAAAAGCCGAGGCAGGTAACGTCTATCCCCGTCTATCCCAGTATTGACGTAAAAAGGTCAGGTGTATGGTCCATCACTGCATGACACTAAACTGCTTAGAGGGCTCTATGGTTGCAGGAGTTAAAACTACTAACCAGCCCTGTTTTTCGAAATATCTTTCCCTTTTCAAAATTTTCACTATATGTTTGTGTTTCCAAATACTTTAATTGTTTTTTAAAATCGCAACTTGTCCTTGCTCCGAGAATCTCCCCCTACTTTCAAAAATGCTAAAAGACTTTTAAAAATGAAGGGGCGTTGTCACCCGTACATGATGATTACTGTGTTTGCCATGATTGTCGCATTGCTACATCGTCTCTCACTTCGGATTCAGCTAGACAAGTCTCTTCGTATAGAAAACCTTTCCCTATAGATAGTCAAAGGAAACCCTAAGGAGGTCAAAGAAAATGCCAGGGTTAAAAATTCAAATTGTGAAAACCCCTGAAG